CTGTGATCGTCCTTATTCACTGTCCAACTTTTGCATGCATATGAAGTTATTGAAAATACCATGGCTTGGGTCAGGCGCACCTTAGTCCTCAAACTGACATCTTTGCTCTTCAACACTTTAAAAAGGTCTTGTGCAGCAGATTTGCCTGATGCAGTACATCATTTCATTTCTTGGCTTTTTCTATGAGTGTCTATGGTTGATCCAAAAAAAAAAAAAAAAAGTTTTTGACAACCTCAATCTTTTCTCTGTTGATACAAATGTTGATTACTGGTCCTGTGGTGAGGATTTTTGTTTTCTTTACATTTGAGTTGTTGTTGTTAAGTGCCATTGAGTCAGTTCTGACCCACAGAGACCTTGTATAGGGTATCTGAGGAGCAGCTGGTCAGCTTGACTGCTGACCTTGCAGTTCAAATGGCTTTGCAGTCTGGCGCATTAACCCACAGCGCCACACCAGGACTCCTGTATGGGTAGGGTGAAATTTTCCTGCTTCCCAGTTTCATCTCTAATGTTATCTCTCTCTCTTATCTTAAAGGATGCTAGAGAAACATGTTAAAGTATAAAGTATAATGCCATTTTCTTAAGATATTGCTGATGCTGAATGATCCTGTTGGTCATGGTGGTGAGTGAATGGCACAAGTTTGGTAGTTTCTCTTATTTAGCTGCTGGCATGAATTTTCACCTTATTCTCACTACAGAATTCACTTATGATGAATTATACGTGTTTTGTATTAAGAAGTCACACTATACGTATCCAGACTTTTCTCCCCTTTCCTTCTCACTTGGCCTTTTCCTGCTTTCTAAGCATACTCTGTACTCCCTCCCAACTTTTTCTTATGCCATTCTCTCATCTGGGTGCACCCTCCCTCTCTTACTACTGCCTGGTATTCTAACCCATCCATAAGTGCTGTTCTTAGAGGTCAAGGGTTACTGGTCAAACCTCTTATGTTTCCACCTGAATGTGATTATATTGCTATTCATTGAGGTAAAACCACCTTTTTATTTCTCAGTAATTTGTGTTTGTTTTGTAGCCTCCTATGTAACTGTGAGTATTTTTAATGCAGGATCTGATATACCTGTATAACCCTTAAGACACTTTTCTTATTGGCCTACAATAAAGATGAAATTGAATTAAGAAAAAACAAAGGCCTATTTTAGGACACTGGGCTGCCCTAGCTTTGCAAATTATCCATAAGAAGACCCCACCCTTGGTAAACTATTGAGGTGAACACAATTAATCATCAGATCAAGTCAGTGACCTACATAGGAGTAATAGTGGTCCTCAACATGGCTTCACATAGTAGAACCTGTGGCTGGTCTGATAATTCTGTCTCCTGTATACCTATCTATGTTTTCCCCAGGCCCTATATGTATCTACAGTCCAGGAAGAGGGTAGGGTATCAACCTGTAACAGAGTCTTTCTTAAAACACGGTATCAGCTTAGATACCACATAGGGAAACTCTAAGAGTTGGCTAGAGTCCTGGTGTGGCATTGTAGGATAAAACACTAGACCACCAGATCAACTTGAACCACAAGGTCTTCAGTTCAAACCCACGTTGGAAACCCTATATAGGGTCGCTATGCATCAGAACTAACTTGATGGCACTTAACAGCAACAAGAGTTGATTGTGCTCATTAAAATCTGTACAATTAGTCATCTATTTTTTTTTTGTTTTGCATTGAGTCCCCAAAGCAGCATGTTAAGTTTTCTGTTTACATTTATAGATGTGTGTGTTGAGAGTTTGGTAGACCCAACTTTGCTTGAGTGTTACATTGTTCATCTTTTCATGAAAATGTGACTAAGAGGTGAGATATATGCAAGTATCTGTACATATGAATTATTCTTCAAAACTAAAAAGTATGTCTTTTCTTGCAGGAGTCCAGAAGCTTTGAAGTCACAAGAAGAGAAGGTAAGGTAAAATGCACTCATCTGTTTTATTCTCATTGTTGACATTTTGGAAGTAGTTTGTTGAAACTAACATGAACTTCAGACTTGTGGGCAGCCTGCTCTTTGAAATTTTTCTGTGTGCTGACTACTTGGTGCTCGTATCTAGGGATTCCAAGAACTGAAGACCAGGTTTGCTTGGGTGAACTATGTGTTCTGTCTTCAAGTATCAGAGGTAAAGTTTGGAGAACTGACTCATTCATGATCATGTTTACAGTCTCTTGAAAAGGAGCCTCATTTTTGAGTGAAGTTTGATGTAATTATTTAGTTTCAGCCAACATAAACAGCATCAACAAACTTATGGTTTGAGGTATTTCAATATCTGGGAAGAGATGCCACAGTGAAAAACAATTCTGATTAGATTTTTACAGCCTCAGCCAAGCCAAAGTAAAAATAACCAATTAATTTTCCTTTGGAAACAATTCTACAATGTTCTGTTTTCCCTGCCAGCGTTCCTCTAGCACGGTTGTTTTCTGGTCTCTGAGGTAAGCATATATGGGTGATAATTTCTGAAATCATTTAGTGGAAATTGAAGTTTCCCTTATTCACTTTCAGCAATCCCTAGTCTTTAATAAAAATAGGTCTTAGGGATGATTTATGGAATCATTACCAGTCATCTTTTTAATACAAGGATGGGAGGATGAAGTCAGAAACCAAAGTGATTGCTTGTCCTAGGTTTTGGCCTCTGGTTTTAGTTTCACTGTGGAATTGTTTCTAAAAAGAGTGACTATCTAAAAGAACAAGCAAGTTCCATATTGGCTTCCATATCTAATGTATCCTTCTCTCATGGTTCATTCTGATTTTATATACTGTAATGAAAGCCATACCCTGGACACATTATCAAACATTATCAAACGTGTTTCTAGAGCTTATTGTTAAGTAAGCTTATTGTTAAGTACCGTGGAGTGACCCCGCACAGTGTTTCTGAGGCTGTAAACATTTATGGGAGCAGAATGCCTCATCTTTCTCCCGCGGAACCACTGGTAGTTTCGAACTGCTGACCTTGACGTTGGCAGCCTGACTTGTAAGCACTACGCTACCAGAGCTCCTTTTCCAGAGCTTGAGAACCCAGATTTTCTACAGCATCAGTATTGGTGAGCATTCAAACCAGTTATTTGCTGCTGTCCATGGTGCTGTCCATAGGTAATAAAGAATCTAGTTGACCTGGCTGTAGCATTGTTGTTGTTATGTGCCGTGGAGTCAGTTCTGACTCATAGAGACCTTGTACAGGGTTTCCAAGGCTATAGATGTTTACAGGAACAGAAAGTTTCAACATTCTCCCGTCGAACAGCTGGTAGTTTCGAACTGCTGACCATGAGATTAGCAGCCCGATTAGTAACCACTACTCCTTGGCAGGAGATCTAGTAGCATAGTTGTTAAGAATCAGGCTGCTAATCTCATGGTCAGCAGTTCGAAATTATCAGCTGTTCTGTGGAAGAAAGACGAAGCTGTAGCATGGACTTTATGATTTCCTTTCTCATTTACCGTTGCCTTTGCTTTTGTACTTATTTTCCTTTTAAATGTATCCATATAGAAAACTGCATTGTCTGGATATCAAAACTGATGAAGATGGGGCAGGAAAGTTGCATTTCTTATTGAAAGCTGTGGTCACAATAAGGTGACCAGGTAAGGTAGAAGGAAATAGCCATAAGGAAAGGAGAGGTTGGAATCAACTTTGATTTTAAGTAATATTCTCTTCATGGTAGGTACCTCCCGTCTGAATCATGAGCCTCACGTAGAAACTTAACCTTTGTGTTTGTGTTTGTGTTAGAAATGTGTTTGTGTTGGAAATGTCTTGAAATCCTAAGGTAGGGAGACTAAGAGGACTATGTGTATTTCTATTCAAAGGCACACAAAGGGGTGGCTGAACTTAAGAGTTTCTGGAAGATAAACAAAAGCATGGTTGGGCTGTGCTCAAATCATCCACTGCCACCTTTCATCTACACCCACCCTTTGCTCCATTTGGTTTCCAGCTTTCACAGTTGACTGAGAGCATTTGCACTGGCAAATTTGCCCTGATATCAGATAAACCCTTTTCCTTCCTATTAGGAACAGGCTGATGTCTTTCTTACTTGTTTATGTCAAAGTTGTTGAGTACTGGGAGTTCCTGAAATAGCCCAGTGCCTGAATTGGCAAGCTTATAACCTGGCAGACAGGCAGGAAGTGTGGGAACTTGCAGGTTGATTTGGGGGTCTGAGAATTCATGACCTGGGCTGTGGCATTGTTAATCTTCTCCAGCACAGTGTCTATGAGTACAGCTGTAATACAAAGAATGAGTGTTTCAGTCAGTTATTATTCCCTGGTGTGGCGCTGTGGGTTAATGTGCCAGACTGCAAAGCTGTTTGAACTGCAAGGTTCATGGTTCAAGCTCACCAGCTGCTCCTCGGAAACCCTGTACAGGGTTGCTATGGGTCAGAATCAACTCGATGGCACTAAATAACAACAACAACCAGTAATAGAATATTACTGTTAAATAGCACACACTTCAAGTTGGTTCCATAACTCTATTTGACCTGGAACTGAAAGAGGAGTAAATAAACTATGCTCTGAATTTTCCTGCCCACTTTACCAGGCCCAGGAACTTCAGAGCAGGACCCTTGAGTTTTGGTAGCTGCCTTTTGATCAAGGAACTTAAGATGTTTTCTTATTTTTGTTTTGTTTTGATACTACATCTGACTCAAGAATGTAGGTTTCAATGCCACGTACTGATGACCAAAGACAATTTTCCACCATATGGTTTTTGGAAACCTTTGACTAATTCTGTCAAGGGAGAGTGACTAACATTAGCTGTGGAAATGAGTCCAGGTCAAATCACAGTGGGGGTGGGCATTGGAGTGTGATATGGATGTACTGTGTGCCTTAGACCTGCTTTCTGCCTTGTTTTTCCCTTTCTCCTCCACAATGTTCTTGCACTTCCCAGACAATACACCAGCTTTCTTGCCTGCAAAGCTGTTTGAACTGTAAAGTCTGCGGTTCAAGCTCACCAGCTGCTCCTAAGAAGCCCTATACAGGGTCGCTATGATTGGAATCCACTTGGCAGCACTTAACAACAACAACAATACAGGGTATGCATTTCCTGAAAGCAGACAGCTTTTCTAATTCAGCTGAAAAATGTCCACAGCCCAGCTAAGGCTATTGGATGAAATATAACTTACAAATAGAGAAGTACTGCCTTGGGATATTACTGGGTGATACATGGTTAAAAAGGAGCTCTGGTAGTGTTGTAATTCCAAGTCGGGCTGCCAACTTCAAGGTCAGCAGTTCGAAACTACCAGTGGCAGGAGAAAGATGAGGCATTCTAAAGATTTATAGCCTTGGAAACCCTGTGCAGGGACACTATGAGTTGGAACTGACTCCAAGGTACTTAACAACAACAAATAACACATGGTTAAAAAGCTTCATGTTCAATACAGTTGGCATTGTGGATAAGATTGAGTCCCCCCAAAAGATATGTTGAAGTCCTAATCCCCAGAACCTGTTAATATGACCGTATTTGGAAGTAGGGTCTTTGCACAGATGAATTCTGTGTAAAATTGTAGTTAAAATGAGGTTGATAGTGGATTAAGGTGAGCTCTAATCCAGTGACTGGCATCCTTATTTGTTGTTGTTGTTGTTGTTATGTGGCTTGGAGTCGGTTCCGACCCATAGTGACCCTGTACAGGGTTTCCGAGGCTGTAAGTCTTTACGGGAGCAGAAAGCCTCATCTTTCTCCCGCGGAGCAGCTGGTAGTTTTGAACTGCTGACCTTGTAGTTCGCAGCCTGACTCGTAAACACTACACTACCAGAGCTCCTTGGCATCCTTAGAAGAAAATGGGTACACAGACACACAGAGAAAACAACATTTGATGATGAAGACAGAGATTGCATTTACAACATTTGATGATGAAGACTGATGCATTTACAAGCCAGGGAATGCCATGACTTGCTAGAAATCATGAGACGCTAAGGGAAAAGTGTAGAACAAATCCTCCCCTAGAGTCTTCAAGAGAGCATGCTCCAGCCAACACCTTGATTTTGGATTTCTATTCTCCAGAACTGTGATAAATAAAATTTCTGTTTTTATAAGCCACTCAATCTGTGGTGCTTTGTTACAGCAGCCCCAGGAAATTGCATGCTTGACAAATAATGGACTTAATAAACTTGAGTTAGTTGTTGATGAGGATGTTTTTACAGCAGAACCTCTGAGAAGTTTTCAGGTGCTAAATGTAGCTCCCAACAGGGGGTGTAATATGCAGCATTTCCAAACTTAACTCCCCAGGGGATCTTGTTTACATTGCTATCCATCATCTCAGACTGGCATTCCATGCCCTTTGAGAATCCTACTGCAGATAAGAAGAGAGAGTACTCCATACAAGGCCACCCCCAGGTACCAAACAACTGTCTTCTCAAGGCTATGCATGCACACATAGTGAGGGTAGTCATAATGACAATTTCTTGATTGTATTCAGAGGGTTTTCACATTCCTTGCCTCCCTTGGCCCTCAATAACGCTTGAATGAGCAGAGCAGATACCTCCTTCTACCTCTTACACATGGGACTCCTTCCATCCTTTTTGTGCTGATTTTTAGAAGGAACAAGGATTCCTTGGGAGCTGATGTTCTCCCTGACACACAAACACACATACTGCTGATGCACTGAACCTCTCTAGTAGGTAAAGATTGCTTAAAGGACTTGCTCTTCCTCCATCAGGGTTAATGCTTTTGCACATACATATCAGTTGTCAGGCCCAGAGAGCTGAATGAAACCCTCGGAAGGAAACATCCTTTGTGTCCAAGTTAGACTGGTGATGGAGATGCTCAGGGGAAACGGGAGAGAGATACAGGAGCAGAAAATGTGGAAGACTACAGACTGGTAGGGTGTCTTCTGGGATTAAGTTGTTCATCTGCCAAGCCTGACCTGTGCCTTTCCTGTCCTGGGTTCCACCTGTCCTAGTGCATGGGGAAGGAGAAACTGTTGCAATTTTGTCAGCTT